CATATAGCATGTAAACAAAAGTACACAGCAGCTGTTAGTTTAGTTTTGTTTGGATAAAAATACACTGATATACATCAAGCAACACAGGAAACAGTATGTTCTCCATCATTCAATCGTCCCTGCAGACCATGCTTTTGAATGGTATCTGGTGGTTGCTGTGGGACCAGGAGCTTTCCCACTATTACCTAAAGGAGCATTAAAATACACACATACCTTGGCACTAGCTCAAACTCCCTGCAGGCATACTTCCTGGACTGGAAAGCAGTCACATCTTAGTATCTTTTAAGAACTTTGTTTTGACCAAAGAAGACTTTTTAAATGAACTTCAATAAAAACAACAACCAAAAAACCAAAACAAAACAAATGCAAATTGAATTAGTGAGAAATTTCCAAATATCTTGGTGTATTTATAAATGATATATTGTTAGCAATAGCCAAGTATTTTAGACGCTGAGATCTGCAGCTTGCTGCCAAAGAGTATATAGAAATTTCTTTATAGGTAACTATGCCCCTGGCACTATGCTTTTCTTTCATAGTCTCATGTGCTCTGACTAAAATGTGAAAATTACAATATGTAAATTATGGTTATGGGCATTTAATTGGCATGACTTTTAATTTTTTATTGTAAGCAAGTTATTAAAGCCTTTGATTATTCCCTGTGCTTCTTGAAATGTTATTAATAAAAAATCCTGATCTTTTTAGCTTTCAACATTAGATTGAAATGCAGTATGCAAAGTGGTACTTTCAATGCAGGATGTTGCTTTTGGAGAGGGATATATATTCCCTAGGTACAGATCATGACAGAATATTCCAATCTAAATTTGATAGACAAATTTGATTAGTTTTGTGGTTTCTCTTTGGAGAGATTTTTGGTTCCTTGTCATGTACTGTTTCCATCATGAAACAGTACATTTCCATGATGGAAACAGTACATTTTTTTGATGGATACACTTTTTTCATGCTTCCGTATATATATATATATATTTTTTTTTTTGAGATGGAGTTTTGCTCTTGTTGCCTATGCTGGAGTGCAATGGTACAATCTTGGCTCACCGCAACCTCCACCTCCTGGGTTCAAGCGATTCTCCTGCCTCAGCCTCCCGAGTAGCTGGGATTACAGGCATGTGCCACCATGCCCGCTAATTTTATATTTTTAGTAGAGATAGGGTTTCTCCATGTTGGTCAGGCTAGTCTCAAACTCCCAATCTCAGGTGATTTGCCCGCCTCGGCTTTCCAAAGTGCTGGGATTAGAGGTGTGAGCCACCATGCCTGACCAGTTCAAGCTTCTTATCAGTGATGAAATAGTTTTAATATAAGATCTTATTCAAGGCTGAACAGTTTATTTTCTTATTTAGCATTTGAACTCATTTTTAAGGTTCTTAGAAGAAATTACCTTTTTTATTTAAAAGAGTTATTTTGGCCTTAATCTAATATTATTGCTGTAATTTAAATTTTATTATGTGCCTTTTCCTATAAAAGCATGATTTATGACAAGGTGTAGGATAAAGTACATAAGGGTTTTCCAATGACTTTTAAAAAATACCCACCTCTGGCCTTGTCCTGTCTGATGCTTCCTTCCCAAATCTTCTTTCTTTTTATATTGATTTTCTTCCTTGCTCTTCATAATCATAAGGAAAATTAAAATAAAAACAATTTCACATCCTAATTGTGCTTTGTAATTATGGTATTTTTTTAAATCAAATTTGGATCAAATTTTTTTAGATTATAGAAAGTTACAGTTTCTAAATGATTGTGGATATTTGTAGTGATGGTCTTAAAACTTACCCAGAATACTGTCCACTCATCGAAATGATTGGATTAATTTTCATTTTGCCCTGTAGTCATAACTTGAGATGAAACAAAAGAAATAAAAAGTAATCATCTGCATAGCTTTTCACCTTTCCAGGGGTGGAAATGACACCAATGAAATGATTCCATTTGACTGATGTATGCATAATTGCTAAATTTAAGGGATGATTAACTTCCAAACTATTTAATATGAAATGTTGAGGGCTAGCTTAATGAAAATATAGAAAAGTTCTTACCACAATCATGCAAACAGGAGAAATTAGGTAGAACATCTGTAGTAAAGGGCTTTCACATGAGAAGAAATGTGTATGTATATTTATGTACACAAATATTAAAAGACCATAGGATGACCTTCTTGAGTGAGGCAATATTTCTACGTAGTAGTTTGAAGACAGTGAAGTGCATGATTGGAAGGACACAAAAATAAGGGGAAAAGATAACTCTACATAAAAGTGAAGAATTAGCCATTGGTTAAGAGCACTTATGAGCTATGATTTGATGTAGAATAGTAGGAATATCCACTGAAACACTTACATAAATAATTCACATCCATGTTAAAATCTACAGTTGAGGTTGAAAAGTCAAATGACTTCTTTTTTTAAAAAAATCAAGTATTCAATAATATTTTAAACTACATTTTAGGCCAAGATTCCTTTTTAAATGGACAGTTCTTTAATTCTAATTGCTTAGTAAATACATTTTTTCCAGTATAACATAGGCTGATTTATATGTCCTTTTCAAGTATTTAGGCGTATCATTTTCTTATGTTTTCTGTACCTTCCTAGTTAGTAGAAACATTGTTTGTTCTTGGAGTGTGCTTTGTCTTCCTTTTCAAGAAGATCATCAAAGTTACTAGTTTGCAGCTTCCAAAAAGAAAGAGCCTTCTAATCCCTAGTTCAGAGGCTAACCTTTATTAGTGCTCTCGTGGTTATAATGAGGACCCTGCTTCCTGCAGGGAGATTCTGGAATACTGAACAGATTATTCAACAAGTTCAGAGCAGATTCTGAAGCCCCTTATAAAACCTGCTTGTGAATACTGCTTTCTTTGCTTTGCTGTTTCTGGTTTCCATAGTATTCCTAATTATATAAATCATGTGGAACATGGGAGCTGTTTTCCATCCAGTATCAATTCTGACACTGCTTATGCTATGGTATAATTTTAATTATTTTTCTAGGTTGTATTTTTTTTCTAAAATTCTTATGGGGAGTATAAACTATGAAAAACGTAGAATTTTTGTTGTTAGAAGATCTAGTAAGTGCTTTTTTGGAATCCCTTGGGCTGACATAAAGAATCTGAAAGTTATTTCGTGACAAGCATAGATAGAGAACCTGATAACATTTTCTCATATTTAAATTCAAGATTAACTCTAGGGTGTAAATCATTCAAGTTTATCACCTACTGCTGGATTTATTAAACTTTATTTCAATTTAATACCTATTTATGTAGTGCCTTTCAATGTTCCAGAAGTATATCAGGTTCAATGAGTATATCAACTAAAGGTGTGTAAATTAAAATCTAACACATAGTAATATATGAATGTGTAGCAATAAACTAAAAGCACTGATGATTCTTAAGCTAGGTTTCCTTTGAAAAAAATTAATCAAGATTGATTTATATTGTACATTTTAAAGGTTGAAGAGTTATAATTCTGATATAAGCTTATTTCTCTTTTAATTTTTATTTCTTTATATGTGATCTTTTTTTTAAAGATTGAGGTGTTTATTATAAGACTTATAGAGAAGAGCAATTACTCTAAGAGAGTAAAAAATGAGGTTGATAGCTGAATTTCAGGAATTAGTTTCTCAAGCTAAATGAGTGAATTTTATGCACACATCTAAGAAGGTGTTTCAATTGTCATTGGCTCAAAATTTCCTCTTAACTTTATTTATACTATATTAGTAGAAAAATCTTGAACCTTGTATTCAACACTCTCCTTAGTGTTGAATATATTAGACAGACTTCAAATTATGCTTTGGTAGAGAGTTGTGGAACTTAGTGTCATAAACTTTTTTACTAAGAGCAAAATTTAGCAGAATACCAGTAGTAAAGGCCATTTGCATAACTCAGCCTCTCAGCAGCTCAGCTGAACCTAATTGTAATTCAATTTTCAGATTGCTATGCTAGGCCTCTCTGCATAAAATATGCAACATATAACATAACTAATGGCATGACCTATTTTCTTTGCTGGTGATCTATTTAATTCCTTTTTCTAGCAGAAATATGTATCAGAATAAGGTAGCCAAGACATGTAGTTATTTTGTATGTTTAAGTTTGTTTCACATGTGTATACTTAAATAATGACCAAGTAAAGAAAAGTATCATTTCGTTTTTCTGGATTCCCAAGTGTGCCATTTTTATTTCTTGATTTCTGTCTTTTCAGAGGAAAACTAAATCTTGAAAAATGTTAGCTAGCTGCCATGTTATTATTGGACTATTTTAGACTAGAAAGACTTTATAAGCTAATAGTGTGAAAAAGTATATAAACATGTTTGTCAACTCCTTATGGATGTGGCAGTACAGATTCATAAGTAAATATCTTTTATCTGTTTATAAAACGCATGCTGGAATAGCATTCCTAAATCCTTCACTGGTTTATATTCCAGAAACTGAAAAAAGAAAGGCATGATAAAATGGTCGCTTAAGATTCTCACCCCTGTTTTTAAACAGTCCTGCCATCCTTGTTTTATGAGTTACTTAAGAAATGCAACGAAAATCCTCAAATAGGTTGACTTATAAAAGTGTGGATTATATTTTATGAATAATTTCCAGATGTGATGTTTGAGGTATATAGACTCCGCGACAAGAAGCTATATACAGAAACAACATGGATCTTACAATTTTATCAGGACAATGCAAGTAGATTTCAGCAAGGTTGGTTCCAACTCATCTGTGATAAATGAGAAGATAAGGCAATCAGTGCACACCATGACACTCTGTGCAGCTAGTTAGGCACACTTCAGAACTATTCAGGTGTGCTCACAAAGCTTATGAGTCTTGCATGGGGGGTGTCTCAATATAAATACATCCTTCATGGTGGCCACTAGTAATGCAGGAATTGCCTCTCTAAGACTTAACCCAGGTCAGATATAAATAATAGATGTTAAGAGTTAGCTCTGGTATTGGGACTGTGTTCCAGGCAGTGTATTACAGTTGGGTCAAAAGAATTTTTTTCCCTTCTTTTCTCGAATAGTTCCTCTGCTTGAAAAATGCCTGCAAAATTCCATCACACCTTTGCGGGGACCACTTTGGGTCTCTAAGGGAGAGGGTTTCAGCCCCTCAGGAGCTAAGATGTACATCCAAGGAGTTCTTTTGGCCCTGTACCAACGATTAAAGTCTGCAAAAAAATATTATAAACAGGTGAGTCATCCCTTTTAAAAAATTGCTTTATTATATGTTTTAAAAATGTACTTGGTTGTATAGAGGCATTGATTGGCATTGTGTCATAAAAGAACTATGACATGTATTTTGTGAGCTCAGTGCCCATTAGGGAGCCAAAAATACTGCTTCTGTAATCTCAAAGCGAACAATAATGGAGCTAATTGTATCTGTCTTTTGGTATAAGATGTCATATGTCTCATCTTTTCTTGCAGCACATACTGGGCAAAGTGAAGTCAACTTTTTATATGGAAATTCTATAGATGATTACTTTAAATATGAAAATAAATAGCTCCTAAGTCATTTGAAGGTTTAAATATTTAGCCTTCTATCTTTTTTCCAGTATAAAATCAGATTTATGGGGACTAGAATAAACAAATCACATTCTGCGAAATGAAATCATGAATCAACTTCATGTCAAAAGTAACTTAATTTAACCTTATTTAACTTGTCTGTTTCAGGAGCCATAAGTATAGAAACATAGTTTATTTGAGTCAGGTTAAATTGGATTTTGTCCTTTAATTTCTGTGTATTCATTTCATATTTGTATGTGTGTGTGTAAAGGCTGATATTTTTATAACCATGTATTAGGACTTTTGATTTATCTTAAAGTAGAATTCACATTGTAAAGCAGAATAATTGATGTCATTTATAACATAAAAATGGAATTGGCACATTTAAAGAAATCCTTTTTGTACTTGGTTTTAAGAATTGAAACACATATTTTTACCAAGTTAAATAAGGACTAGGTTTACATTTTGAACTGGGAGGTTCCAGTTTAGAATTGGGCTCATTATCTGAGACCGCAGACTGCTGAAAAATGAATATTGTGAAAGCATCATGCTATTATTCTCTGCTTGCAGGGAGGAAGGGGAGGTGGGAATGGGAAGTCAGTCTTAGTGTTCACACAGCACCTCCTGCTGTCTCGTTTGGAAAAGAACAACTTGTGTGACTGAAAGAAAGTGTTGTACTAAGGTATCCACACCCAGCAAAAAACATCTTCTGATGAAACTTTTGTTTCCAAAATGTGTTTGGTTTGCCTTGTTAATTTCAGCAGATCCAGAAACAGGATTAACAATAAGTCTATTCATAATAATACAGTGAAAGAAATAAAAATCCAAACTAATGTTCTTTATTAAGCCACTATATATAAAAACCTAGTATAAAATATTTTATTGCATTTAGGTTAAATGATTTTGGTTAAACTATTATTTACGTTTTAAGATATCATGATATTGTAAGATGATCATGATGAATTGCATTACAATAATTTATTTGGAATTATGTGGTTTGATTCCACTTATTGAAATTTAAAATTATTTAATGTTAGAAGAAATAATAAGACAATTCTCCAACTCAAGAAAAGCACTGTTTAAATCAAATATAAAAACAAACCTAAACATTTTCTAAGTTTGGGTGTTAGAAATAAGAAACATCCCAGAAAGCAATGCCATTTTTTTCTTCTGCTGTCTTAAACATGTAAAATTTAAATAAGTATAAATTGCTATACTAGATTTAAAAGAGCTCTGTTGCATTGTAAGACAAAAATGCTTTCAGGATAAAAATTTCTTTATGACTCAAAATTGATGAAAAATTTATTTTATTAAATATTAAATTATGAACAAAATTTAACATTTTAGTGTCTCTATAATTGTCTGTTTGGCCACTCTAAAGATTTCAACATTATGTGAAATTTAAGACTATTTTGAAACTCACACTCTTTGCCATTTCTACTAAAGCTTTTTTCTTCCATAAGTTGTAATAATTCAAAGCTTTACATTCAAGTTTTAATATAATACTTGTTTTATTTTAAAATACAAAAATGAAGAAAAATAAATAGAAATTTGCTCATTATGCATTTCCATGTAAATTTCTGTTTCTTTAGATGTGCTCTATTTTATGTATGCTTGAGGTGTTCTTCGTTTGTCATGTTTAACCAAGATTTAATTTAAATTATTGAATTTTAGAAAAGTCACTCTAGTGATACCCCTATCAGACCATCACTGATTAGATGTTAAGCCTGACAATATCTTTATTTGTGAGTGAGATTTCTTAACAAATATCCCCCTTAAGCATTAATGAACTTTGTTTGAACTGCACTTATTTCATTTGACCTTGGAATAGTCTTTTCTATTTAGTTTTTTATAAGGCTGTGTTAAAGAATCTTTAGATAGGTGAAATGGAGGTAGATGATTTCCTATTTCCTTAACAAATTAAAGTTTATAAATTATATGATTAGATTAGTTCTTGATATTATCTCCATTTATTCCATTTTTTATATCACATATAAAAACAACAATATTGTCTTGCTGTCTTTCGAAATACAGGCTTTAAATTTTGTCATTCCCAAAGGAAATTTCTTTTAAATAAATTGCGATAATATAGCTTTAAAAGGAAAGTCAGGGCTACTGGTTTTATGTTTACGAACTTATTCATTTTTCAATTTTTAACTTCAGCTTGGCTATTATAGCATGCAACTGAATTAAGCACACTACATTAGGGTGGTCTTAAATATGTACTGATTCGTGTGTATTAAAATGAGATATTATATTTAGAACAGCATAAAGTCACTTAGTCTTACATTTATCACATTTATTTCCTTAAAAGTGGAAACATCTTAGAAATTGCTTGGAGCTAAGCAGAATCTATTTAATTGGTAATCTTTGCAATTGCATAAATGCATTCCTATGAAATGTAGTTAACACTTTCAGTGACAGGGCCTGTTCCATCTCATTAGCATTCTTGTTATGTAGTGGTGCTGTTGGTGGGGGTGTTGAAGTAGGAATGCCATTGTGTCGAGTTCTAGTGTTTGGGGACAAACACTGCTGTGGAAGGAACGTGTGAAAAGGCCACAGTCCTGTCAGTGAATGAGGAAGGCTGTGCTTTCTGTGTGCTTCAAGCAGGGAAGCTGTCATTCATAGGCCTAACAGAGCTAAGCAGAGGCCAAAACACAAGGCTGCATTACCTTTTAAAATGATATTAGTGATTTTTAAACATGATCTTCTTTATTTATGATCCTACGTAGAGCTTTTAGTTGCTGTCAGTAAACAAAATATGGCAGTCTGTTCAGAAACACTATAAAGTTGCATAAACGTGCATGGAACTGTGCCAGGCAGCTATACAAATAATGATTCAGAATGGCTGATGGGCAGTGTTAAGTACAGACATGATTTTTTGGGAAACACTCATTTCTGAAAACGTCTTCCTAAGTTAGATACTCCTTTGAATTTTCCCCACAACCAACAAAATTCCTGGAGACTTTTGCATAAGAATGCATAGCATTCTTTTTTTTTTTTTTTTTTTTAATGAAATTTTTGAAAGCATCATAAGCTTTCAGTTTTAATCATTTAAAGCTGTTCATATTATGGCCCAACCGTTGTTCTAAATTGCATAGTTATTTTTGAAATTCAGAGACAAAAAAAGGAAATGAGCATCTAACTATAATATCAAGATAAGCACCATCTGAATTAGGAAGAGTCATAGTCCCTGAATTTGTTAAGACATGAAAAAAATACGTCTGTCGATTTAAGAAATTTTAAGGAATTTTTAATTCTACTCCTAGTTTTTAGCACTTTGGAAGAAAATGACTAAATTTGAGATTAAATTCTAGTTGATTAGATTACTGAAAGTAAAATAAATAAAGTATTCTCTAAATTTCTTAAATTCTTGGAGTCTTTTCTAAACTTTGGCAGTGTATTGAAAAACACTGCAATTTCTATTTATGCGTAAAGCTGCAGGAAAATGTTTTACTTCTGTAATTTTAATTTGGAAATGTGTATTTGGGCTATTTGTAATAAATCATTACTTAATAAAGTTTGTTGAGGACTATATAATTTTTGGTCTGAGTGATCTAAATTTTTTGCATGTACATGGTCTCTTTTGTTTATTAATTTAAGCAACTAACTTTTTGGATGCTGTTATATGTTGTTTGAAAAGTTCTGTATTTGGTGTATTATGTTTAGCAATCTCAGGTACTGAGTTTCTATTTCAAAATTAGGTTTTACTTTTTAAATTGGAACGATATTGCAGACTGTATAATTTTTGGCCTGAGTGATATAAATTTTTTGCATATATGTGGTCTCTTTTGTTTATTAATTTAAGCAAGGTGACTTTTTGGATGCTGTTATATGCTGTATATAAAAGTTCTATATTTGGTGTATTATGTTTAGCAATCTCAGGTACTGAATTTCTATTTCAAAAATTAGATTTTACTTTTTAAGTTGGAACAATATTAAGATTTATTTTGTGGGCATATTATTTGATGAGAAAATAACTAACTTCAGTATATATTGTTTTTGCAATTTAAAATTGAAATGTATTTTGTTAACGTGCTAAAACTAAGCTCTACCAAAGCACTCAGATTTTGTTTAAAAAATTATATAAGTTAATGTTGGCTCACTTTATCCACACTTTAAGTTTGGTAATTAGGTATCAAACAACAATATAATATTATTCTGTCCAGAATTGATTCAGCTCAAAATGTGCTTGAATTATATTTAGTACTGACAAAATTTGTTTATTACATAAAGTATTTTAAAAGGAATCTTAGTATTTTAATTTTTCAAAAAAGAAGTGCTTAAAGTTTGTCTTTTCAGATCCTATGTCAATTAAAATAATTTATTGGTTCTACATTATTGAAGGAATAACTATTTAATTTTTTGTATATACTTTAAAAATTGAGCTGTTTCCTTGACTTAGCCTTTCTGGGACAACATTTAAAATATTTTAATTTTTAGCAAACTTCTTAATATCCTTTGAAACCTTAAAAGAAATTTATAATATGTAAACATAATATACTATTAAAAACATGAAAATAGTGTGACAGTCATTTCAAGATCAAAACTACTTGTGAAGGTTCTGATAAGTAATTTTTTAGAATATTAGGTTGTTTGTAGATTTGAGTGATTGTTAATTTTTTTTTCCTTGAAACTAAGCTGCATTTTAGTTACTTGAAGTATTTTAAGAACTTTAAACTTGTGTCTCTTTCTAAGTGTCATGCTTTGAGCAGGCCTAACATCAGTTAAATGAAGTGAAAATTGCATTCTTGTCTTGATAGAGATGAAAATGGATTTCTGGTCATGAAATAGATGTAGTTGTCACTTTTTAAAAAAGGTGTCAGCAGTTTGCTTCAGTGAGTAAGTTGCCAATTCAGTATGGCAGTAAACTTGTGATCTGAGCAATCAATAAAATGCTTCAATAACTTCTGCTTCATTACATTTATAATAAGAGGCTATAGATCCATGGCACATAAAATGTTGATAAAGAGGATATGTGGGGATTGACTGTGACAATTTTCTCAAAAGTACAGTAAGTGCAATATTGCCATCTAGAGTTTGTGCATAGGTAATTATTACAGAGGGGGGGAAAGCAACAGTGAAATAAAACAAGAAGTGATATTGAAATACTGCTTATTTTCCATCATTTATCCATGACACATTTATCTTCATGGAGCATTTCATTTGACTTGTCATAAAGCTGTTTAGGTCAGGAGAAAATTTTCCAATGTGTATTTTTCTCTAATTCTCTTAGAATTATACTACCAAGTGTCAAATATGTATGTCTAGCTCAAAATTGAACTTTTTATCATGAAAACTATTTATTAAATAACTCACTTTGGAAAAAAACAGAAGTTTTTCTTTTTTACATGGTAGTTCAGTTCTATAAAAACAGAAAGCTTTATTGACATCTCAGTTGAGTGTCTTTCAATTAGAAAAATTATCTTTATTAATGTTAAACCTCCCTCAAAGAATAAGGGCCAACTTACCTCTTAAATGGTATTTAAAAATAAGTATTTTTTACTTCAGAACTGCACCTAATGAAAGAAAAATTGATTTTTCTGCTTATGCAATTCTGAACATTTTGATGAAAAGTGAATTCCATTGGGATTATCTAGGACTATGTCTCCATCTTTACCAACATATTAAAAATATTAGTTATCACCTTACTTTTCTTGATTAATTAAAAATTATTTAAATTGTTTTATTTTATAATACTTTTTGAATGAACTAATATGGAACTATTTTAAAATTAAACATCCTCTGTACTTGTGACTGAATAGAAAATTTTATAAAAATCTGAATCTAAGTGTTTTAATGATAATACAGATAAGGTAAACTTAATATGGATATAGAGTGATTTAACAAGGAAAGTTGTGGTTTTTTTTTTTTTTTTTACTTAACTCTTCCTTCACAGAATATGGACCATTGTTTTAATTATAGAGCAAGGCCTTTAAGTTTCCCGAGGTGAATAATTTGGCATTAATATACTATTAATGCATTTTTTCTAATATACTGTTGCATATTTGGTTTCTATATCTATGTGTGAATGACATATAATTGTAAAAATTGGAAATGATTATAACATAAATTTATTTTCATTTTCTGGCCAAAAATTTATTCTCAGACATTGTAATGCTATATTACCTTCATTTATATTTAAGATAATTCTTTAGTTAGATGAAGATATCCTTCTTTAATTAGATGAAGATATCCTATGTTGAAATTTCTAATCATATTGATTAGAAATTTTGCATTTTAAAAACTGGAAATAAGGATAGAATTGTCCAGGCAAAGTACTTGAAAGTAGACCTGACAAATGTTCTTTAAATTACTCAACCACCTACAGGTATTATTGCCTATGACTCTTTTGAAATGAGAATAAATTTTATAGAGTTACTGCAGCAAAGTGAAAGAGTGTGTTTGATAGATTCCCTGAACAGTTTCAACACCCACAGG